TTCGGGCCATTTGGCCACATATGTTTTTCCAACGAACGCGCAGCATTTATTTATGTTTTTCCTTTTATCGTTCGATCTAGACACTTCGTGCTTTGCTTTTAGTGTTTATTGGTCTTTACTCGTTGGACGTTATTAATCTTTCGCTTGTTTGGTTATCGTGGGATACTTTTACAGCTACGAGGGTCTCTTCGCTTTCCGTACAATGGAAGCGATTTATTTGTTCTTCGTGTTTACTTTAAAGGGGTCGTTTAACCCAAAAGTGAGCTCGGAATAGTTTTTTTTTTGTAATTTTGTTTTTGTTAAAATTTAATGATATTTGTATATTGTATGTTACAAACATTGACGATAAAACTTTTTTGATTGGGTGTAACTTGGCTTTATTCGATGGACACGCCCTTTTAAAACGTCTTAAAAAAATAAAAATTGTTCAGACGCTCGAACTTTAAAAACATTAAAGCTTACAAAACTTTCTGCTTACTATCAGTATTATACCACATCGGCAATAGACCGCGAAAAAAAGCATATCTGCCTCTTAAATTTAAAAATTCAAATTCCAAGGACAAGGGGTCAAGTCCAAAGAAAATATTCCACCAAATAATTTTCGAAATTCCAATGATCAAGGCAATAGGTGATCAACGAATGTATATTGAACTCTTATCTTCCAAAATATTGCAAGCATGCAAAGGCCACACCATTTGCTAAAGTAAATAACCCCACAGAATTTAAACAATTGAGGTCAATTAGCATAATTCCTACTTTTTCTAACAAATAAGAAAATTCTTTGCTCTATTTGATATATTGCTTACAAAACGATCTGGGTTTAGAAAAGATTATAGTTGTGAGTGTGCTTTGATCGATATTACTGATGATTTAGTGCAAGCATTGGATGATTAATTTTGTTATACTAGCAAGGCTTTTGACATGACGAATCATAAATTGCTTATTTCAAATTTACACTACAATTTGTCTAGGACACTAATAGATATATATTTATTACACTTTTCGATACTACATATAACACATATATGGGTATATTAAGCATGTCACATCACATTAAAATACAGTGTTTAAACAGTACATTTAAAAAAAAATCATCTACTGAGTAAAGACACCTATCAGTTAAAAAGGTCTTAATTCTTTTCTTAAACACAGATAAACTATCAGTTTCTTCGAAGCATTTATGGAAATGTAAAGCTCTGTAATACCTTTGTTTTGTTGCCCGATATACAATCTAGAGAATGGAACGTCTTTGCCCTGTGGCATGTTCGTGCAAGTCACATCTCCTATTCCATCTTATCACGTTACTTTTGACGCAAATCAAAACGGAATAAATATATTATGACGGAAGTGTCATGATCTGAAGTTCCCTAAATCGATCGCTACACAAATCTTTACTAGTTACACGCATCACGTAACGAATAGCACGTTTTTTTTGTTAAGAAGACCCGGTGTGCACCAGTGGCCTGACCCCAATAGAATAGCAATAGTAGACCAACTTTAAGACTTCAGTGGATACCGTGTCTCTAATATTTTGGATTAAGTAGGAGCAGGAGCTTAATTTGGCCAATATGTTGTCGATGTAATGATTCCATATAAGTTTGTTGTCAATGTGCGGACCGAGAAACTTAGTGGCCTCCACGTTTTCTATAGAACGTCCCTCTAATTGGAGAAGAATGCTGGAATCAACGTATTTTTTGTGACTATTTCCATAGCTATTGACTTAGATTTATTTAATTGTAGTCCGTTATCGCGACACCATTCATTCACCCTCGTGAACCCTTGGTTCTGCGGCCCCTTTTAAATTAGCTCTGCTTTTATCTGTAACTAAAATGCTTGTGTCATCTGCATACAGTACAAATAATGCATCTGTATTGTCCTGAGGAAGATCGTTAATAAAACAATTAAATAGGAGCGGTGATAGGCAGGATCATTGCGGGGTACCTCTGCCTAAATATTGAGGGCTCGATTTTGAACCGTATATCACAACCGGCCGCTGTAGTCTCTCTGAGAGGTAAGATTTAACCCATGAGTTTGCTGGACCTCTAACGCCCATATTTTCCAGTTTTTTTAAGAGCAGGCTGTGATCGACAGTGTCGAATGCGCGGCTCAAATCAAAAAATAAGTCTAGTGCGGCTGTTTTGTTATCAAGGCTCTATGACGTGCTCCAGAGCATAGTCCACAGCTATACTTGTGGAGCGGTTGGCTCTGAATCCGTTCTGCGCATCAGAAATCAAAGAGTATCCAGAAGATCCAGTGCAATAACATTCATTTCGGGCATTTTTTCGATCATATACAGGGTTTTCAAATTATAGGCAAAAATGTAAAAGACTTAGAAAATTGTTTTTTTATAAAGTAAATTATTAGGCGCAAATCAAAAATCGTAAAAAATATGGCTAATTGGTTGAAACGGTGTCATAGGCCGCATCAAGACCTACAATTTGCAAAAATCCATATTGAAATCGCTATTTCGGGGGCTGTCAAGTTGCGATGACGTCATTGATTATTACGGCGCAATGCATGGTTTCAGAAAAAACTTATTTTCTCGAAAACCATTTACTATTTTCAAAAAATTCTTGAACCAGGAAGCGTGGAAAATCCAGGACTATAAACTCTACTTCGAACAGTGATTGTATTATGTACAGGCTCGCAAAGAGTGTCGTGAGATAGTTTCAGGTTTTGTCAATTATACGGGGCGCGAGATATTTGAAAAATATCATTCGACAACGCTATTATTTGTAAAAATTTTAATATTTTCCGATGTTTCCTGTAACTTTGAAGTTCGACGAGATTGGAAGGACATTTTATACAGGGTGCATGCACAATTAAATTACATCGATTTTCCGAAAGTTCCGTGGTGGTCCGCAGGAGCTATTTTCCCTGACTGTTGCGCAACTTTCTCTACTTATGTTATCAGATTTCATTAACCTTTAATTGTGGTGAGTTTTCTTTGCGCGTTTAAGTTTTTTGTTGTAATAGGATTTAAGTTCTTTGTATTTTTTATTAGATAGATCATTTTTTATTCCATTATTTATTTGATGCATCTCGTGTTCCGCACGACTCAGGTCTCTTAATTCTCTATTAAACCAATTGATTTTTTCCTGTACGAGACTTAAAAAAGTGTTAAAAATTTTATCTAAGTCGTCGGATTGAATATCGTAGAGCAAATTATTAAAATCTGTGTTGGATACCAAATCTATAAAAGAATTTACATTATTTTCGCTAAACTTTTTGAAAAGGCGTTTTGTACTACTATTATGATAGAACTCCTCAAAAATGAAGAGCTGAAACCTGTGGTCAGAGACACATGTGTCTACAGCCAAGCTTTTTAGTCGAATAAAGTCGACGAAAATATTGTCAACGCATATTCTAGAATGGTAAGTTATTCTAGTGGGTTCTACTATAGAAGCAACTAAATTATACTCAAGAAGTATATTTTTTAGTATTTTAGTTTGTTTGTTGTTTTCGAGCAAGTTGACACTTAATGTCGCCGCACAAAATATGCTTATTTTTTGATTCATAATAGCTTCTAATATTATGGGGAGTTTCTGTACAAATGCTTCGAAGTCTCGCTTTGGAGGTCAGTATACAGAGAAAGTTGTGATACATTCCTTGTTAAGCTCTAATTTTATTGAACACATTTCAAAAGTTTTTTCTTCAGAGTTATTAAATGGAATTTTTGAAAAATTTAAACTTTCTCGACCCAAGATACTGACCCCCCTGCACCTAGTTCACGAGGAATAACTTAAACTTTAAGAAAATTAACGTCTGCGGATTCATGATGCTCTGAGATACGCAGCACATTGACGTTTTTTAGCATTGATTCGAGGGCTTCTTTTTTGTTTGTGAGACCCTCTTGAATATTAGGGTTCATAACTATGAATGTGTTAGGTGTCTCACCGTCTGACTTAAAAAATTCTAATTTTCTGAATTCACTGGCGCTGTTTCTGTACTTGTATTGTATGGTGACGCTTGGCGCCATCTTGCGGAAACTAGCGAATGAAAGGTAAATCATCTAAAACGTCTTCAAATATTGTCGTCAAAAAGCGTTAACACGAGTCTCCATGCAGAGTGCCGTTAAAAAGAAGGGGGCTCAAAATTTTGCTTTTGCTGTCGAATTTGTTGAAATTGTCTAGGGTTGGTAATGGTCCCGATATGTTCGATGAATATTCCACAATTTGTTAGTGTCTGTCCAAATCAAATTTTCTAGGAAAGCTGGAAAACCGGGTCTCCTTTGTAGCCAATTACAAAATTGTAATCGCCCTTTCGGGATCATCTGGAGGTAATTTGTTGAGATATAAATTTTGAAGCACTCGTACGAGAAGAATCACCAACATCAGAGTAAGCTTGGCGTGTAGATTTTCCCGGGTTCATATTTATATGAAAAATGCTAACTTTTATTGAAAGGAATAAAATAATTTGATGTTAATCAATCTTACCTAATTGACAAAATTTTCTTTTGTTTCCTCGTCTATTCTGTCTCCAAATTTTACAGATTTTTGGGGAATTTTCAACTTTGTCGTATTTGAAACACCCGGTATAGCACATAGCAAGTGTCCACAAAACTGTAAGAAACTACTATATACAACATATAGAGCATTTCAAACAATTTCTAGTTTAAAGGAAATATCAAAAAATAACATATGCTTCAGTTGTTCTTGGTTAATTTTAAAACTTTTTATGCAATTTTCCATAAAGAGGGTCGAAGCTAAAAAAAAATACCGGTTTTTGAAGTTTCAGTTGGAAGTAACTTTTATGACCCAATCGAAAGTGAAGAAATTACGATTTTCTTGTTGCCCTTTTACGTGGTATATTGGGCCACCTTTATTAACTAACCCGGTGTGTAACAAAGTGTCCAGGAGTTTAATTCCAAAGCAAATATGAATTTTTGCATTAGAACTAAAGAAATATCGACTGAAAATGAGGGCCAATACGATGTAATGCAAATTGAAAGTGATAATTTCGTTGAACGTCGTATAATGCTTCATTCCTTTTTTTTTCAGACGAAAGGGACGCCGTCCAGAAGAAAACCTTTACGAAATGGGTCAACAAGCACTTGAAAAAGGTAGGGGACACTTTCAATCGTTTATTGCTGTAATATTTTCGAAATTCATTATACTTATCGCTCACCGTGCTTCACAGAAAATCGACCCACGTATATTTTTTTGTGAAAACCATACTTGCTTGGCAATTCAATAAACAAACAAAATAGGGAACTTGAACAAAATTAATTTGAATTATATTCTTGATCCTGTCGCTTGATTTTGTTGTGTCGTGTTCAGTGTCAAGAAGAAAATTTTGAAAGTAACATACAAACCACCGAAAGTTTTTGCATGTGCATAGAAAATTTAGCCCCTATTTTTAAAGTTTTAAAAATTAAAAATGGTATATCAAATCTAAATTATTCAACAACAAAAAAAACAAAAATCTTTTTTTTTAATTAGTGGAAAATTAAACACTGATTTTGAAGTATATTGGCATTCATAACTTAACGCGTTCTTTATTTTATATATATCAGGAAGCCATTTCTATTAAGACTTCAATAAAATGGGTGTAAGTTGGGAGAGTTAAAAGTATTTGCCCGGTTAAGGCTAAAGGGACACTTGAAAGTAATGTTAACAAAAAATTACGGCAATAACACTTGCAGCGGTATGACGTCACTATCGTTCCCGTATCATTAGTGTCACAACTTGAATAATTTAATGCGACTTCAATGTTGGGCTTTGAGTCTTGATATTTGATGTGCGTTGTTTCTATACATAAACAAATATATTAATGAAAAAAAAAAGTTCAATTTCTCTATTCTTTGTTTGAAAGTTGCAATATTTCAAACGGGTTAAATAGTCATTGTACAGTACAGTACAATCCCGATTATATATAGTGGTATATGGTGGCAGTGCAGAAGATGAAATATACAATATTCCAGTAAAAATTTCACATTCAGAAGGACTAGAGGCGTTGGAGAAAGCGTTAACTTACGTAGAACAAGAAAATGCAACTGCCGCTTATATTCTTTTTATCAAACGAATGCAGTTAAAAATAGCTTAATTTTTAAGACGGTAAAGTAGATTTTAGGCTGCATTTTACATATCGTTCATGAATGCGCATTAGTATGTATGTCCGTAATACTATATTCAAAAAAATCTTCTGGATTCCTCCAAATGCTTCTCCATTGACTCGCATTCTGCTCTGTACCTATTTAGCATATCTGTTTGAGAGAGAAACAGTTACAAAACCATCTGTCAGTTTTGTTTCTTCCTTTTTAGTGCTTAAAAAAATACAAAGTTCATATCGAAAACCTAGAGAGAAACAGTTAAACAGCAGTTCTTTGATACCCTAGACAATCGATTTTAAGTAAGAAAGAAATATGCTTTATCTAGGGATAACCCAACAAAAGATGTTTTTGCATAAGTTTTTGGAATAAGTATTAGTATTGGTCATGCGCCATGTGAAATATGTTTTGATTGTTGTTGTATATTTCATCTATTTCCTTGCAATTTTTTTTACTACCCTAATCCAGTATTGTGAAAACATATTTGCACTTGCACCCCTTACGGATTTGCGAGTCACCCTGTATATAAAATTTTTTAAATTAAACGTGTGAAGTAGTTTCTGATATTTTTCAATTTGAGATACGCCTTCCTATAAATAGGACATTGCCAGCTAATGGGTTAAGGATATGATGTTGTCTTTCGGAATGGCCATATTGTCTATTGTTCACGCGCCAACCGCGTTCACAATTTACATTTAAATAAATCGAGACCTCTTGGTGAATGGTAATCGCTTAATCTCGTTAGCGAAGCTCAAAAACAACGAACAATGTCGGGTCCGTTAATATTGCCTTCTTTTTTTAAGGCGCGGTCACACTAGTCGGTAGCTTATGTCGCATAACGCGTAGAAGTTTGAGTAAATGAAAAACATCTGGGTTTGTAGTGGTGAGACAAGGAGGGATGAATACAAATATAGGTACTTTCGTATGTTGTGTGGCGTCGAATATTCCCCAGAACTCACACAACCATAAGATTAATTTGTCAAAGAAACTTCCATATTCTACTGTAATACTATTTAGTAATCTTATGGATTCCGCCTGCATGGGTTGTTTACAAATAAAACTTGCTGACGTTTCGCCAATCATCCTGCTTTTTCAGACCTTAACTGAAACTGTCTCGCAAACACAAGCCTGTATGGTGATGACATCAGGCAGAGTGATCGCTGACTGAAGCCGGTTTACTCTGAACTCGGAAGATATCCCATCGTGTCAAAACCTCATCTGCTCATAAAATACTTTGTAAATCTAGTTTTGATTTACTTTGAAAAATAATTCATTTTGTCTTCTTGTTCCCATCCGAGTTCTGAAAATCTTCGTTTATCTTCTACTCAGAATCTGATTAAAAAAATTGAAAAACTAACGTCAACACTAGTGAAATAATCAAATTCTTCTCAACTACCAAGCACCTAAAGTCTCTAAAATCTAATGCCGACATCGTATTCCTAAAAGCAGACAAAGGAAATGCTATGGTGGTCATGAATACAATTGAATATTAGAAAAATGTTCAAGACAGATCATATCGTCAACTTAAAAAAGATCCTACGTCATCTATGGAGCGCAAGCTTAATTCTGTTATTAAGGCTTCCTCTCCATCAGACTTCTTGAAAAAGTCTGTCACCCCTCAAGACTCTAAAATTCCTCGTCTCTACGGACTCCCAAAGTTTTACAAACCAGGATTTTCCCTTCGACCTATTGCCAGCACCGTTGGTTCTCCAACCTATTCTCTAGCAAAATATCTAGCTTCATTATTAAAACCCTTTACAGGGAAAACTTATAATTTCGTACTTAATTCTGATTAGTTTCGACGTTGAATCCCTCCTTTTCAAAGCCTTTATTCCTGTAACTCAACATCATTTCAGATATATTAAAATCCGAGAATCTGTAATCAAACCTTCTCACCTTAATTGAAAAATGCTTATTGGGAACATATTTTTCTTATAAAGGTCAAATTTTTGAACAAATGCTATGGGTTTTCTATTTTCACCAGTCATCGCGAATATATTTATGGAAGCCTTTGAGAAGAAGGCTTTCGACACCTTCCATCTAAAACCAAAATTATGGAAATGTTACGTCGTGATTGGGCCTCATGGTTAAGAATCTCTATTAGATTTTTTAGACATTTAAGCTATATACACCCACACATACATTTTACCATTGAATTAGGAACTAATAAAATAAATGAACCATTCTTAGATATTCTTATCAATAGAAAATCAGACGTAACATTAGGTCATAGTGTTTAGAGAAAACTTACGCACACAGACCGATACCTTAATGCATTGTCACATCACCATCCGGCCCAAAAATCATCGGTTATCAACGCTCTTGATTACAGAGCCGTAAAGCTATCTCAGCCCATGTCACTGAACCCAGAATTAAAACATCTTACCTCTGCTCTTCACACTTCTCCATAACCTTCCGATAAATAACAATGACCCCGAAAGCAATCCCACACTTTCCACTCTTGTCCTTCCTTATATTCAAAACCTCACTGACCACATATCAAAAATTCTAAGGGAATATAACATCAGAACCCCGTAAAAGACAAAAGTCCGTTTGAGATACCAGGAGTTTACAGCATTCGATGCATATGCAGCAAAGGGAAGAGACCGACGAAAAATATCCACTAGGCACAAAGAACATAAAAGAGTCTTAAGACTATGAGAAATAAACTCTTCAGCACTTTTCGAACACAATCACGAAACCTTACACAAAATGTTATCTATACGCAACCAGACAATCTTAACCGCGACTTTTACCAATATGGGAATCAGTCATCCGAGACGATAATTTAACTCCCCCCCCCCCTCAAACAATATATAAGCAGGTACGGAGTATAATGCGAGCCAGTTTCAGTCAAACTCTGAAGCGAAAGTGCAAACGTTAGCACTTTCCATTCATCAACAGTATTCATAGTTTTCTTATCAAGCGTTCCATTATGTCCGGTAAAATTTTACTGTTTATACAACAGCAGAAGTATAACGGTTCTCCTACTTATATAAACGGAAAATCTCTATTTCTATTGTAAAATTTGCCTCACTTTTCTATCCGCCGCTCCGTTATCATTCCAGTTTAACAGGGAATCCGTTGTAAATAAGAGAATATGTGGAACAACCGTCTAGATAAATAACGTCATTGTTGATTTGCGACCAAAGTTTCCTCGTTAGATAATCATTATGGCGTTAATTGGTGTCGAACGGCATACGCGGCGGACTCTCTCTAGCGTAACTTTTACGATTTTTTCGGCCCACGCTGTAAATTATAAGCGACAAGGCCTGCGTCGTGTTTTCTACGATTTTAAAGCACTTATTTTGAAACCGTTCGCTTACCGCCGCCTTAAACCGCTTTATAAGGCTCTACTTAAGTCGACATCGCGCACTTTACGAATACGCTAACGACCCTCTTGACACCTTAAAGCCGGCACGGAATTGAGACCTACCGGTAGAATATCGCGTCGTGGTTCCTTATAAAGACGACAATATTGTAAGATTTGCGCTATTTGCGCACGTAGATGTCGATCGTGATGATGCGGTGCGTCATTTTGACGCCGAATGTGGGTTCCGTTTTCGTGCTCATTCGAATACCGATTAGTTTAAGTTTAGATAATATTCGCACTATGGGCTGAACTTAAAGAATTTTGGAATTAAGTTAAACACTCTATGGTTAACCGCCACATATTTTTTCGTGATATGAACGTATTGTTAGACCTATTTAATTTTTAAATTGAAAAATATTCAGGAATAAAACGAAAGAACAGAAAAAGACGACGAAGAACAAAAGATACAGTAAACAACTCTTAAACATCGAAAATTGCATATTCAAATCACCTACTATGTGCCATTTTTTCGTTAGAATTGTACATGCCCATGCATATCCTGAGAAAATTAAACAGTTTTTCTTTGGCACATACGAGGGGCGTTCAAAAAGTAAGGTAACTGTTAAGCTGTTAAAGGACGTCAGTGATGATCCTGATATACTCAAAAAGGTCATTACTGGTGACCGGTCATGCACCTGCT